CGGCTGAGCTCACCCCTATTGCGTTATTGCAACGTAATTTTACACACACACACACTTACACACATACAACTTACTTGTATAATTTTCATCAAAGAGGTTTTTTTCCTAGCCTAGCTGGGTTTTCCTCCTTTGGGGACAAATAAATTCTTTTAAATTGTTCCCCAAAAATTCCAAGTATTATTATTTAATTTCCTAATCCCAACTTTATCATATAATTTAAAACAATTACGGGAATTATCCGCATTGGATAGTTTTCGACAAAACATTTCAGTTGAATACTTTATGGGTGCAGGCCATGCTCTGGAGATACCATACATTCTCTTTCTTTCATAATCTTCACTAATGTCTTGAGGTTAGCTAATAATTGAGGACAATGTTAGTTAAATCATAAAAAATATTGATTTTTTAATTTTAATATTATTAACCCCTGACAAGCACACTGGGTAAAAAGTACCCACCCCAAAATTTTATTTTGTTATAATTATTTGTGTATATTTAAACTTCGATAGTATTTTTATTTATTTTAATTAGCACTAATTAATTTAATATTATATCTATTTTATAGAGAATTTTTTGAGCTTTGATTAAAAAAAAAAAAACAAAATTCTCTAACTTTATTAGAAACCAAGATATTTGAAAATGAAATATGTTGGGTACTTTTCACCCTCAATGTCTAAAGAGGTATACGGTTTAGATGTGTGCTTGTCAGAGGTTAATTTTACTAGTAAAAATTGTGAGATAAATAGGTTAAGTACTCATAAAAATAAGCATTAATCAAAAAGACAATCTAATTAATCATTTGTACAGAGAAAAAAACTTTTTCTTTATAGAACTAATGTTTTCGATTTACGAGATGAATATTTATGAAAATTGAAATTATTTTAAAGCAAGTACAATTTCTTTGACTCAAGAAATTTTTCCTTGTTTAAAAATAACTTAAGTTTAGCTAATTAGCTTGATCTTAATAATTTTCTTGGTTTAAATAAATTTTTTTTGGTATACTAATTTTAGAATTTTCGGCAAATTCAACTAATAAAATAAATAATAATGAAAACATCTAATAAAAATTGATTTACATAAAATGTATTCAATAGTTTCAGTTTAATTGTAGTTTATAACTTACAAGAAACGGCGATGACATAACCATCATACACTGGCCAACCTCCTAATTGTTTCTTTCTCTTTTTTGATATTTTTTCCCTCCACTCAATTAAATATGCTGTATCATTAAAGTTTTGCTCCCATTCTTCTAATATAAAGTCTCGTATCCACTCAGTAGGAATATCAAGCGTATAATTTTGATCGAACTTTCCACCAATCCAACAAACTAAAGCATATTTTTGTTGATTATCCTCAGTCATCGTAGTTTTCTTAATATATTTTCGGAGTAATTTCTTCTTTCAGTTCAGGAGTTGCTATTAAATAGTATATTACACACCTAGGGAAGTAAAGTAAGAAATGTCTCAGATCACATGTAATTGTTGGCCGAGGCGAAGCCGAGGTCAACAAACATGTGATCTGAGGCTTTCTTATTTACTTCCCGTGGAGTGTATACTATTTTTTTGTCCGACGAAGGCGGAAAGCGGCAATCCCTGTGGAAAAAGTATTATAAATTCTGATACAAAACAGCTAACTGGGTATCAGAATTTATCAGTTAAAAAAATATTTATAAGATTGAAAAAATTTTCTGATACAGATTTCTATAAGAATCTATCAGTTAAAATTGAGACCAGTTTTGTATCAGGAATTACTGCTTATTTTTTTATAAGAATGATTAAGACTGAATAAGTCATGCGATTTTATCAGGTAATACCGCGGAAACAAATAAAAGATTCTATAAGAATATCTGGTTTCATAAGTTTATGTAAGTTTATTCTAGGATAGTTTTAATGAGATATACAAAGTAGATTCACATAGGATAATACTTGTAGAATCTTAGAGATACGATTTTTTTACTCAAATAAGAAAAATTTATGAGTTTATATAAGAATTTTCACTTGCAGAAGTATCTGATAAAGTATCGAAGATCAGTTATAATTTTTTATAAGAAATTTCTGAACATTCTTATTTTCAAACTCTATAAGATCAAACAAGGAATTCAGAGGATAAAGGCAGACCATTTTCTGGTAAAAATTTTATCAGATTTGATTAGCAAGTTATTGTTCGAATAAACTTGTGAAAACTCGAAGCATGCATGTATTATTTGATTCAAATAACCACTATAGCTTTTATGAGATTTTTCAAATTTCATCTAATATTTTTGATTATTCAAAGAAAACTTAAAGTAATTATTTCCCTACTAAAAACAGAATTTAGATTCATATTTGTTTAATTATTTATAAATTTTAAGTTGTTTTTTGAACAACATTGTCATTAAAAAAAATTATGTTTTGTGGAAAAATGGTTATAAATTTTATTGTTTTTAAAAACAGAGTTTAAGATATAATTATCTTACCTATTGTAACTCAATTTTTTAATTAAAATTTAATTTC